GCTTTATCTTTTCTGTTGGCACAAGCAGATGACTCCTTATTATTCTGTAAGGCTACAATTGATGAATGTACCAGGCTTCTTCAAATATTGAGGATGTATAAAGAAGCATCAGGGCAAGAGGTTAATTTTAACAAGTCTGCCATAACGTTTTCTAAAGGTACTTCTCCAGCCACTAAGCAATCTATCTTGGAATATACTCATATTCAAAAGGTTGGTGGTTTTAGAAAATACTTGGGACTCCCTGAGATTGTGGGTAGGAATAAAATGGATACATTTTCATATTTACCTCAGAGAATGGTGCAAAAGGTAGAGAATTGGTATTCTAAGTTGTTATCCCATGCTGGTAAAGAGGTCCTTATTAAGGCGGTTCTTACGGCATTGCCAACATATTGTATGTCCTGTTTCATGTTGCCAAATAAATTGCTTCAGAGATTAACATCCGTAATAAGGAAATTTTTTTGGTCTACACATCAGGATAAGATCAAGGCCAATTGGATCTCTTGGGACAAGATAACAACATCAAAGCAACTGGGAGGCCTTGGAATACGTGATCTCAGGGATTTTAATGTTGCTCTGCTAACAAAGCAGAGCTGGAGGTTACTTCAAGAGCCAACATCCCTTTTAGTCAAAGTTTACAAGGCAAAATACTACCCAAAAACAACATTGCTGGAGGCCAAACAAAAGTGGACCTCAAGTTATGCTTGGAGAAACATACTTCAAGGCAATAGGTTGTTGAAGCAAGGAATTAAATGGAGCATTGGCAATGGGAAACTGTGTATGTTTGGAGAGATCATTGGCTTCCTACCAACCCGTCTATAGCACCAACTCCAATAGAAGCCAATATCGAAGGTAAAAGATCTATTCATAAATGGGACAACTGCTGGGATAGTGACAAGTTAAGATCTTTAATTCACCCAACTGATATTCCTCTGATACTGCAATTGAGGCCTACAATTACAGGAGCTCAGGACAGAATCACATGGCTTTATACTGCTCATGGTGCATACACGGTGAAATCAGGCTATAACTTTCTTCAAGCAAATCATGGTCAGTCTTCTTCCACAGCTTACATTATTTAAATCATTGTGGAAACATCAATTACCTCCTAAGATATCGCATTTTTGGTGGAGAGTGTTGCATAATGCGATACCAATGGCCTTAAATCTAAAACAGAGGAAGATAATCAATGATGGTACTTGTTCTATATGTGGTGAAAAGGAGGAAACTCTCAATCATATGTTATTCCAATGCCGTGTAAGTAAAGAGATGTGGGAGCTTGCACCAATAATGAATCCAGAGAATGGATCTTTGCTTTCAAACACATCTTTGCAGCAGGAACGTTCTTATGATTCAAGAGTATCTTCATTTATTCAACAGCATGTGAAAGTACCAAAAACTTTGCGTGAAATTGTTGATCAGGTACATCATGCTTGTTGTCTAGTGGATGCTTTTTGGATATCCCCAAATGAAAATATAGGCATTGGATGGAGTTTACATGATTGTACATTGAAGCAGCTGCTTAGGGGTTGAGGATCGTTACCTCCAACACAGTCCTCGGAATATGCAGAAGTTGAAGCTTTGAGAATGACTATAGTGGAGTTACAAAAATTGAGCTATCGGAATGTTACTTTCTGTGGAGATCTTCAGAAGTTGTATGGTATGTTACAATGTCAGGATCTTGATCTTGAATCTGCAAAGGTTAGGCATTTACCTTATATTGTACAACTTCATGACATAATTCGGATAGCAAAGTTTTGTAATTTTACTTTCCTTAAGGTTTCACGAGAAACTAATGATTAGGCTGATCAATTAGCTAAACTTTCTAGATTGCTTTCTAGATTGCATTCTCAAAGATATATTGTACAATGGCCAATGTAAGATTTTGTGATAAATCTTATTTGACGAAAAAAAAAAAAAACGTGGACATAAATAAACATCCAAAAAAAATAAAATCTAACAACATAACAAATGTCAAATGTGTACAAAAAGCTACAAAAATAAATAATAACGAAAATTTCCCTATTTTTCGTATTTTTGTCTTACATTTTTTTTTTCCAAATTAAATAATGCTAACAGTAACTATAGACAGAAGAAGAATCTAATTCAGAAGAACAAATACGTTTCATAATAATCGCCATTATATTATTACTATTACCTCTCTGTATTATATCGTGATTCTTTATCGACGAAGCCGCCGAGTTTCTCGTCCTTAACTCAGCGAGTGAACTCGCTTCCGCAACCGACTCACTCGTCACCACAACTTCGAAATCCTTCGTCATATGAACATTCCCAACGAGTTGACTCAACACAACCGATTCCGAAACCGAGTTCTTCTTCTTATGCTGAACCATCGTCGCTCTCACTATCTCAGTATGCATCGCACTCGCTAACCTCCTGATTCCTTTTGCTCCACCGATCAAAACCGCCGGATTAATCTCCGACGTTTTCTTGCTACTACTGTGCTTTGTCGAGAAGAAGAGGACCGACTCGGGGCTCCGATTTCGAATCCGGGTTAACGGGTCACCGAGAAACAATCCGGTATTCGCGTCGACGAGCATTACGTGCTTGAAACTGCGCCTGATTCGACCTAGCAGCATTGGATAACAAGCCCATCTCCTCAAGCTTATCGGAACGTGATCCATGAACCCGGATAACGAGTTTTCCGGATCCAACTCAGTCACGTCGAAACCCACTACCGAGCCATGAGTCAACTCGGCCGACTCGGTCTCGTTCAATGCTGAGTCGTTGAAGTTACTAACTCGATGCGTCTTCTTCCCCCAGATAGGCTCAGATGTTGTTTCCTTCTTCGATTGCTTCTTCATGAAACGAGTCGGATTAAATCCCCAAACCGAATCGATTTGATTCGACGAGTTTCGATGAGCATCGACGAGTTTTAAGAACGAGTCGTTCTCTTCTTCGATTAATCCACCGAATCTCGTAACCGAATTGAAGAGTAAAACGACGTCGGATCTGGAAGTGACACCGGAGCGGTGAAGCAACCGCATGAATAGACGGAGATCTTCCGGAGTAGTATCGGAAGCGATATGAGCAACAACTAAATCGTGCATGCTTTTGGTTCCTCTTAGAAACAGAGTACCCATTCCCTGGAGAGCGAATCGGTTTGAAGAACGACGAACGACATCGCGATTGAGGAGAAATCGACGGTGAGAACGAGGAGAAACGGCGGGAAAAGTACCAGAGGAAGGTTCGAAGGTGGAGAGAGTGAAGAGGAAGAGGGTTAAGAAAAGGAGGAGGATGCAGATTGAGATTGTGGATTGGGCTTTTGATAAGAGAAGACGAGAAGATCTGGAGCGGAAGAGAGTCGCCGGAGAAGAAGAAGAAGGAGAGTTGTTGTCGACGGTGATTGGAGATGATGGGTTTTTGGAGTTGTGATCGGGGAAGAAGACTAAGAGAAAACCCATTCCTCTTCCACTACCATTAGTGTTCTTCGTCTCCTTCGCTGATATCAAACCCAT